AGAAATCCAGTTCATCTCTGGTCGTAGGAGCTTCTGGTGCTATTTTCCATTCTTGGGTTAGTAATACAGCTGTCTCAAACTTGAACTTCAGTAGCATTTACACACTGATATGTAGTATTCTCTTCCCTCCTTTATCCACGCTAATGGCACCCGACAATTACCCAACTTTACAGGAATAATAAGAGACAAGTCTTCTAACCTCTGGACCTGTCCTTCTGCTTTACAGTCTCACAGTTTTGACCTGTTTATTGAAACTTCGTGAGATACAATGTTAACAGTCATTGTGTATGGCTTGCCAATTTGTTTGCTCAGCTGAAGAATTCTGGGTGTGAGCAGTGTCCTTTTGTTCCCACGTGGAGATTGGTACACAGAACTTTTGAACCATCACCAGGCAAAGTGAATTTCTGGTAAGGATGCTGTATGGTACACATGCATGGATTAAATGAAGGGAGGTAGCTATTTTTTGTAGCCCCCAAAGAGTAAACAGCAATTTCCTGAAGCTAAACCAAAGGAAGAAAGCAAGGACATGAACTCCATGCTAAACCATGAAGTCGTACCTACCCACTCAAGTCCATGCTTTTAGGAATATGCTGCAACGTCATAGGCATGAGGAAATTAGAAGTTACTCACTGAGGACTGCAACTATGAACCTGCTTCACTCATTCACATGTAGAAGCCAGACTCCCAGGACTTCAGAATGTAAACTTAATTTGGCAACATGGTGGCATATGTAACCAGTTTCATGATAAAGATATTGTTACCTTTGTATTACTATGTCTTTACAAAAAGAGAACACGGAGAAGGAAGGTGTCATGTATGATAGATGGGGAACCATTGGAACTTTGAAGAGGAGTTTTTAATGCACTCATCCCTAGAGCTGTCAGTTGGGGTCACACCTCTGCCATCAACTTTATCTTAGACTGCCTCTCTCTAGACCTGAGAGATGGTTAATGTCTGTTGCTTAGGTTGTTCCATTTCTGATACTACAGGAGACAACCCCTAGAAAGTTCAAATACAATATGTGACCGACAGGGTATCACTCTCAGAGTTGAATGAATACCTGAAGTTGGTTCAAACCTTTTAAGAAAACATTTTGCTGGCCACAAAAGTGATGGGAGGACCTAGGTAATATTTCAGTCCTCTCTATAATCAAACCAAACTATAAAAGTTCATGTGTCAGTGCCTAAATCCTCAATGTTCCCTAAGGCCAGTGGATTCCATCACAAAGAGGGAAAGTAGAGGAAACCATGTCTTCAATCTTGACTGCCAACTTGATGACATTTAGAGCCACCATGGAAAGTAGTCTCTGGGAATGGATGTGTAGGGGTTATCTAGACTAGGGAAACTGAGGTGGGAAGACCCACCCTGAACAGAGGTGATGCCATCCCATAGGGTTGGGGTTCTGGAGAAAGTGACCTGAGCACCAGCATCCATCTCTTGCTGTTTCTTGGAAGCTGCTGCAATGGGACCTGCTGCCTCAAGCTGTTATTGCTATGATTTTCCTGTCATCCAACTGTGAGCCCCAATAAACCTGTCTTTCCTTTAGTGGCTTTTCTCAGGTAGTTTGTCACAGCAACAAGACGAGTAACTAATTCAGGAAGTCAGGGTTTGAAGTGGGGTTTTTAAGTCTTTGGGGACTAGAAGGATTGCTACCAAGGAAGGCTTTGTGTTATGTGTCCTTGTTAGATTTAATTCTGTGTTTGAAAAGACCTTGAATGTCTGTCTTTGGACAAGAGTTTTCTGTCCTTTCTAGTCTGTGGGCATCAGTATGAAGTTATACTTTGATACATGGAAGGGAAACAGATTATTTTGCTATCATTTTTTGGATCAACTGTTTTGGAGAAGCAAACACTGGAATTGGTTGCTGGGGGGCATTGCATCAATCTCCAACAGCTCAAACTGAGCATCGTGATGGCGCAAGATGATCTAACTGTGCATTTTCAGTGTTGATCTTTAGAAATGAGTCAAATGTATACCAGAGCGGTATTCAGTACTCAGTCTGTGTAGATAACACTCCACTTCCATCTCTGGAGCTCATGACCTTAAAAGCTGATGGGACCTATCTAACGTCCACAGCTGAAGACAACGAAGAACAGTGTGGCTGGTTAGTGAGCAGGCATTCCTTCCGGGGACAAGTATGCTTTGGAGTCACTATTGCTCTGCCCAAACTCAAGAGGATGACAGCAGCTGTCTGAAAATTATTTCTGTGACAGGGAGGGAAATTTATTCTCTTTTTAATCACTGCGCATGTGAATACACATATAATCTTACTGACCTTACCTTCCAGTGAATCACTCTCCTCCCCTCCCATTTTTCTTCTATTTTTGATTTGTGCTGTGAAGAGAGAGGTTTCTTATGCCCATGTTTCTCCTCTGGGTGAGACAGGGAATGTGCACTGGAATAGATCGATTCTGTTTGAGGCCCGAAATGCAAGTGCAGACTGTTGGGATGAGGCATGAACCATCACTCTTTTAGTTTGGAGCGGGGAGGGGAGATGTGTGAGGAGTGTGCTTGCTACCCATCCTCCCATGGGGAGCTGCCTCAGCAGAATCTGGGCTGTGCAAGTGCTGTAGCTGCAGCTAGAGGAAGAGCTAAGGTCCAGGGCTCAGTGCAGGCATCACATAAATCAATGCCAATTTAAAAGGGAAGATTGTTTTAACCTTGGAGTGTCACTTTATATGTCTCAATACATGGTCCATTATTTAATCTCAACTCCTCCCCCACTGTGCTCATTTGTCATAGCCAGACCATCAGGCATGCAACAAGCTGCAAAATGCAAAACCTTACTACCCCCAAACCAGATGACGGTGTCAGGGATAGTGCTGAGTGAAAGTGCATCTTGTTCATCACAGCACATTCAACCCTTTGCTCTCTGAAGAAGAGATGGTCACAATACAACAGTATCATTTAGTGGGTCTTGGGGGTGGGGTTCTTTATCAATTCTCATGGGACCTCAGTGTAGGAACCCCATCCACTCTCCTGAGGAAACAGAATAAATTGTTTGGTGAGCTACCTCCCATCAATCACTACAGACATAAACACTTCTGAGCCAAAATGGTTCTATTGCATTATTGAGGGGAAAAATAAGCATTGGCTCCTCTCTCTGCACTGTTATCCTCTAGTCCCAAAGCCACATTCAGTGCACATGTGAACTAATTTGAGGCTCCGTTCTGCACCAGTGACGATAGTAACTGAGGTTCTTCTGGAGAGGCAATAGCTGAGATCTAGGTACCGGCATGCAACTCCCAAAACTCCCCAGTCAGCTGCTGTGCTCAGTTCCCATTAAAGCAAGTCTAGCTTTAGAGTCTAAACAATAACATTTTTACCTTCAGACTCCAAAATACAAAGGTTCCATATATTTTCATTTAAGGGAAAACTGACTCATCGGTAAGAAAAAGTATATACAGAAGTAGTGTTGGGAGACCTGTAAAGACACAAGCCTCGAAAGTTTTGCAAAGGTTAGCAAATATTTAAGTAGCTGCGCAGCAGCTTGGTACATTTTATACTGATGGTGAGAGGAATATTGTATAGCACTCAAACTTTTCTAGCTGACTTGTGACATCAGATCCAACCTATTCTCATTATTTTGAAGCTTTTATTGTAAGTACTATTTTATAACAGCAGATGTCAATACAAATTGTCCTTACACTAATTCAATTTCGATACCCTTCAAGCTTACATTCTTTTAAAACTTGCCAACTTCTAATGTCTTTTTAAAGCTAGTATCAATTTATTTAAGATATTTAATAAAGGATTGGAAAACACTGTAACCATAATAACGCAGCATTCCCTGGAAAAGTTAAATGAATGAAACAGGCTCATGACTCTAAATTTATCAGGAGCAACAAAGTGGCTATGTGTTTGATTTTAAATTTACCAATTATTCATTTTCTAAGCCTTTACACTAAATTTAATTTGATGAACAAAGAATTTAAATTTTAGATTAATTGATTTGTCTTTGAAAAGCAATAAAAATGTGTTTGAGTAGCAGTTCTCATCAAGACTTGAATTAGAAACTTGAGAGATGGTTCAGTGGTTAGGAGTACTAGTTGCTCTTGTGGAAAATCAGGTTTCAGTTTCCAGAACCCATGCAGTGTGGCTCACAACTATTTGAGGTTCTGATTACCAGGTTTCTGACACCTTCTGGCCTCTGTGGGAACCAGACATACATGTTATATACAACACACACACACACACACATACACTCATAAAAGAAACATAAGTAAATCCTAAAAAAAAAGACTTGGTTTAGAACACAGGTTCTTGGAATGTGTGAACAAAGATGCAATATTGGCTACAGAAATTTCTAAGAAACAAACACCAGAAAACAAGGCAAAAACAAGGGTCTGTTTCTAACATTTTCTGCAGCACAAGGTATCAATGGTGAGCTGGTAGCTACTGAGAGGACTGCAATTGCTGTCATTTGGGGCACTGAAGGAAAAATTGGCACTGTATGGGTTTCCCCATGTGAATTATTGAATGATGAACTCATCAATGAATTCATCCTTATCTTTGAGTCCTCTGTAGTTACCTACACCATTCTTGGGTATAATCAGGAGCTAGTATCATCACGCCGATACTTCCATGGCAATATTTTTTTTTATCCCAGATGTGGTAGAAAAGATACCAAGGAAGTTACAAGCTGCTCCTATCCATCCCTGAGGAGGCTCTCACTTTTGATCTATGGGATGTGGGCATGTGCCTGAGACCCTGGTTTTGAGAAATGCAGTTGTAATGTGACCCAGAGCTTCAGATAACAAATAATTTATTTTGGCTCTTCATTATCAAACTTTGAACTATTACTTTAAAATTTATAAAGCCAAGACCTTGGTTTATCATTTTTTTTAAATTTAAAATGGGAACATAGTGTTCAGTCAGGAAGGTGTTTTGAGCACATATCTCAAGTTCTGAGATGCTAGGAATTAATAATGCTGTTTCTTCCTAAAATTACAACTACATTAAAGTCTCTATGCACACAATAAAGAACAAAGAAGACATACCTTATTGAAATATCCACCAAAAGTCTGCTGTAATCCTTGTAGCCCAGGAGGTCCCTGCATAAGAAAACAAAGACAAATATGATTATTGAAACAATGTGTGCTTTAAATAATAAACCCAGGGATCTGTTTTGTCAAATATTCTAATGAATAAATAATTTCATGGACACCCACATATAATCAGATTTCTAAAGTTCTGCCCCACCCCATATTGTCTTACATGAACTGAAAGTACAGTCGTAAGTGGCGACAGGAAATATTTACAAGCCCAACCATCATCAAGTTCTTTATTAAAAGGGCACTATTCCAGGAGGGACATCATAACTTCCATTTATTTCTGTGCTTTTCACAGAATGTAATCAGTGTTCTGTAGACATGCATGCTACCACATATTGTTAACATAAAATATGGAGAAGTACATTTTTCCTGTTGATTTACTCTTATGAAATAATTGTTTGAAATGGGATACACACTTTAGACCAGTAACAGACATGTAAAACATTTTAATACTGACAGATATCATTGTCTTGGGACTGTTTGCTTGGTATTATGTCCAGCTTGAGTTGGATAGAAAAAAAGAAGTAAGACAGCTGTCCATCTCTAGAGCTACCAGAAAGGGAGAGAGAAAAGAGTTCCATGAGATTTTTAAGGGCTGCATTTTGGGGAGAGAACCATAAGAAATGCCAAGTTTAGCCAGGCGGTGGTGGCACACGCCTTTAATCCTAGCACTTGGGAGGCAGAGGCAGGCAGATCTCTGTGAGTTCGAGGCCGGGCTGGACCGACAGCCTCCAAAACAATACAGAGAAACCCTGTCTCATAAAAAAAAGAAATGCCAAGTTTAGCATTATTTTATGAAGGAGCTGCAGCCAAATTAGACTCAGTATCTCAGACAGGAGATTGCATATACTTCATCTAGACCTCAAAATCTAGGAGGAGGGAAAATGCCATAGAGGCAAAATTCCCAGTGTTTTACATAAGAAGACAAATTAGATGATCAAACAAATTATTGCCCAAAGATTATTTTTAAAAAGAGAACCAAAGTTTTGAAATGTGAAGAAAAATTCTCTTAGGAACAATATCTAGCTACAATCTGATTCAGGTTAACATCTCAGGAGTGTGGACATACTTAATGTTGGCTAACATTTATGCCAGGTGTTTCCTATGAATGGCTTGTGGTTGAAGATTATTTTAATACAAAATCGTTGCATCTTGCCAGGAAACATAAAGGACGTGATAGTGGGGTGATGAATGCCTGGGAGCAAGTTGCTGTGATATTTGAGACAATAATGGGACTTGAAAATGATAGAGCTGACTGTGACCAGAAAAAACAATGCTGTTACCTTGCTGAAAAAAAGAGCTAATATCAAAAAATTATTCTCATGACATCATATACCTTTCCATCAGCCAGCCTTGTGTAAAATAGTCTAGGTTCATTAGATAAAACAATAAGGAATGCAACCATTGAATTGTGGGTGGTTGCAGCCATGCTAGCCCAAAACATGCATGTTAATAACTTAATCTTCAAACATAGGAGACAAGATATTCCATATATTGATCTTTCTGAAAATATGTATAAGGCAAGGTGAAGTTTTAGACACCAGGGGTAGCAGCCTCAATTGTCAGTTAAAGCACTAAGGAGTCTAGGTGTCAGGTATTCAGTCTCTGAATTCATGATAGGACCCTTTATATGCAATAACTGTAATAAGGTGAATCAATTTAGTTTCATATGTCTTCTTCTTAGTAGGATCATTAATTATGGTGGCTTTTAAGTATAGTAGAACAATTAAAAACATTGTCTCTTGAATCTAGGGATCAATCAAATAATAATACTCCAAATTTATATAGTGCTAATTGTGTGATATTTGTTATAGCATAGTTCTGTGTGGATTAACTCATTAAATCCTTACATTGACACTACAATGAATGTGCCATCACTGTTAATGATTCAAAGATAAAGAAAGAGAAAGTTATTATTGTTAACTGGTTCAAGCTCAAGTTATTTTCATCTGGTAGGACTAAAATAAAAGTCATTTCTATGAATATACTTTGTACATATTGCCTTGTTTCATAAGAACAGCTTCTTTCAAGTATATCATGTACTTTGATCATATTTACTGTCCAGTATCTCAATCTGCCTTCATTCTGTCTCTTCTTGCCAGACTTATCCCCTTACCTTCTGTTTTCATTGTGTGTGTCTGTGTGTATTTAAGCATCTATATAAAACCCAGGATCCAAAATGAGAGAAATCAGTGATATTTGTCTTTCTGATTCTGACTTATTTTGTTTAAAATGATAATTTCAATTTTCAGTCACTTTCCACTAAGTAACCTACTTCAATTCTTTTTGGTTGAATAAAACTCCATTGTATACACATAAACATTTTCTTTCCTTCTTTATCTACTGATGGATACCAAGGAAGATTTCACAACTTGGCTGTTATGAATAGTGCGTTAATAAACATGATATGCAAGTCTTCCCTTAAGTTGGCTTGTATACCCATTGAGACTTCATCTATTTCTATGTATGGAGAGGTAGAAACATGGGCCCACACAGAAACTTACTCATTGTGGGTATGATGAAGCTTGCCTATAACCCCAGCACTTGTGGGGCTGATGTGAGAGTATCACAAGTTCAAGGCCAGCCTGGGCTACTTAGCAAGACTCTTTCTCTAACAACAACAACAACAACAACAAATCCAGGTCACATAAGACTTACTAACTGTAGTGGCATCTTGCCTTGCCACTGAACTTGTAGTAGTGGCGACACCCTTTGGGCATGGTTTCAGGTGCAGATGTGACTCCTTTTGGAGCAGGGAGGCTTCGGTGGTTATTTACTCTTATCTGTGTAAGTCCTTCCCCAATAAAACACATATTTATCATTTAAAAAAAAGAACTCTGGCTATTTTCCAAGGCTATAAGTTGCCCACCACAAGCCAATGGTAAGGCCCTGTGGCTGAAGACAACATCAGTATAATTCACTGAATATGGAGAAGTTGGTCTGGTGCTTATCTAGAGTCTTTGCCTCTACTGACTAGTGTTCATGGTACTGGAAGGTACCATGTACACTATCACAGTAAAAAGGGTAAATACCAAATCGTGCTGATTTTCTTGACATGGTTCTGTAGTGTAACATGAAGTCAGATATGACACTCCCAGCTTTGTTGTTTCTTCTTTGGATTCCTTTGACTATCTGGAAAATTTCATTGCTTCGTATGAATTTTAGAATTATTTTTTCTATCTTTATTTCTCCGTAGAATGTCACTGGAATTTTCATAGAAATTTCAGTCAGTGTGTAGATTACTTTTGGTAATACAGCCATCTTCATAATGTTATTTTTGTTGATCCGTGAGGATGGGAGTTTGTGATGGTTAAGTGTTGGTTGTCAACCTGACACATCTGGGAAGAGGGACTCTGAACGGAGGAGCTGACTCTATCAGATTGGCCTGTAGGAAATTTTCTTAATTGTTAATGGACGGAAGGGTAATCAGCCTACTGTGAGTTGTACCATCCTTTGGCGGGTGAGCCTGCGCTACGAGAGAAAGCTAGCTGAGTAAGCAAGTCAGTAAGTAGTTTTCCTCCGTCGTCTTAGTTCCCACTTCTGGGTTCCTGTTTTGTCTTTCCTTGATGATAGACTGTAACCTGTAAGACAAATACATGTCCCCACAAGTTGCTTTTGGTCATGGGGTTTACAGCAACAGAATTCAAACTAGAATTGTCATTAGGAATGTGAAATGCTGGTGTGATAGGTTTAATTGTGTCTTTTGTCTGTTCGTACTTTTCTTTTTGCCTTTGGATTGTGGTGACATTTGAAACTTTGGGCTAGAAAAATCAGTGGTGACCAAAGCTTATCCCAGGGGCTCAGAAGATAATGCTGAGAGCAATGGATCATGGAAGCCTGGCTTTGTAAATTATAGAAGGAACTTTGAGAATCCCTCAGAGAGTGATATGTTGGATTAATCTGTGGAAGTCACCCCTAATAATGGGGGAAGGCAGCAGGAGGAGGAGGCGAAGGAGAGGGGAAGGAGGAGAAGGGGAAGAAGGGAGAGGGGGGTGGAAGACAAGGAGGGATTGAGAATGGGCTTGCTTTCTATTTTGTGCAAATTGAAAAGTGTCCCAGTCTAGGAGGTGTGAATCTATCTCCTAAGCTTGGATAATGGTGGCAAGACTTCTCTGCTGAAGCAGCTGCGTCTGGAGACACCAGCCACATCGCACTCACACAGGCTTCTAACACTAAAAGTGTACACTCACAAGATTTTAAACTGAATGTATGAGACAGTGGCGGACAGAGAAATACCAGACCATGATGGAGGAGTGCTTTTGAAAACACCGACATTCTTATATCAGTAATTGACAGTGCAGACTGAAGAAGATTTGAGGAGATGGGCCAGGAACTAATGGAATTACTGTAGGAAGACAAGTTGTGAGCCAGTGCCCATCTTTGCTAACAAGTAGGATCTGCTCATAGAAGCCTTGGCCGGCCTCTGAGTCTGGGGTGGACTGAACCTACACACCCTTCGGGACCAAGGCTCACAGGCAAGGGCATCAAGGATGGCATGAACTGAGTCTGCAAAAATGCCAATGCAAAGAAGAAATGAAATCTAGATGAATGGAGACACTGGAGTTGTGGGAACTGAACTCAGCCCCGGAAAAAAAAAAGTGACTTGCTGCTTTTTGACCAAATTTTTCTTCATCTCACAGCTGTGTGTAGAGGGGACAGCAGCTTAAAAAGAAACCGCATCCCAGCAGTAGATTTGGACTGATCTCTGAGGTTCAATATAGTTTTTCAAATCAAGAATTACATTATTTCTTTGAGGGGGTGCATAGACTCTGTGGAAGTGAAAGTTTTGCTTCACTGGGATACTCAATGCTGGTATCTAGAGCTTAAACATCAGCTGTGACTAAAACGCACCCAGCATTGGTAAGACAGAATATTCTGGAAGGATTTTATGTTTCCCTCCTCAGGGTCAGCACACAACCCGTGGTTCACAGCAGGCTAATGCTGCATTTCCTAGCTGGCAGCCTAACTTGGCAATACCAAAGAGCCACATGGTACTGGTT